GTTTCGCGCGTGGGGTGTTATTATCATTGTGCTGTACATGTCAGTGTTTGCGTTCGGGTTCGTGGATCCTATCAGGTTTTCCGTGCCACGTCTCGCAATGGCTAGGTGATCCCGCACAGTGGCTCAGTTGTCATCTACGCGGCTTGTGATCCTAACCGGTGCCCGTGCTCCTTCTTTTGTTCCTCGTTGCCTGCCGACAGATGTTCAGTGCGATTTTTGCAGATGAAATCCTTGGCCCGTCCGGATGGCTCAGAGCATCAGCAAGTAGGATGCTTTCCTGACTTCCAAGAAGTGTTGGAAGGCCCCAAGGCCAGCTTCTATGGCATGCGAGTCCCAGACAGGTCTCAGGCGCTTTAGGCCCTTTTAGGGTCCAGGCGTTCCAGCTTTCGGAAACATGTTGCACTGCGTTGTGATTTCCTGCACGCGTGATGTCCCCAGTTTTGATTCAAGCTAACACCTGGCAAAGGCAGTTTCACATGCATGGCTCTGCTGGATGGCCAGCAGGGTTGGATAAGGCTGGTCGCTGTGGAAATGCGCTGCGCTGCTGCAAGCATGCCTTAATGTGTTGTTTAAGAACATGTTGGCATCGCAGCAAACTGGTCACGCCAACTCTGACATTTTAAGTTGTCCCAGCAATAACCTTCTGCGCTTTTCAGCATTATCTATTTGTTGTGTCTCTGGAGCCGCTCGAGTGTTTTCCTCCCGCCTCTGGGCACCGCCATGTGTACTGGGGCCAAGCCCAAGCCATCCATGTGCCAAAGCTTGTTCATGCCATCTCTTGCCCAGAGACATATGTTAAACTTTTGTGTGAGCTCACTGCACTAGCAATAAGCCCAACTAGCTGTTTCTGGGTAGCTTTCTCTCGCAGCAAATCAGGACATGAAAGGAAATTGCTTGCTACTTGTACTGTTTAAGAATGGATTCAGCACAAATGTCTGAGGTTAGCCAGTCTTCAAGGGGGATTAGAGTCAGTCCTTGTGGGTATAGATCTATTGTACTCACGGATCAGGCTGCTGAAGTCTCCGTCCGATAAGTTTGCAACTACACAGGTACGGAGCTCTAGCGACGCTACAGCGTGTTGTTTACAAATGAGCACTTCAAAGAGATAGTCTGCTCCACAGTTCCTTGGCTTGGGCATGCTGGCATGTTGCTTTGTGGACTCTTGCTCCTGCCTTTCGAACTGATCTGACTCGGATTTGCAACGTTTGCTCACGACGGTAAACCTTTTGCTTCCTTTGCTGACGTCCCAATTGCGTCAAGATACTTCAAGTGCATTGTGCAGGCTTCAGACAAAAAGTTTTTCCGCCGCAAGCTGCTACCACGGCTACCAGCATCCTGACAATGGACCATGCTTGAATTGCTTCACCTTCCTCTGCCATACCAGGTGGTCACCCTGTCTGCATAAGCCAACTGAGGTGAAGGAAACACCTGGATGCAGCGAGCTTGCTTGGGACTGCTGCCTGCAATTGCTGGTCTGCCTGCCATTGCATGCCAAGCGTTGCTAGGACACCCACGTCTCCTTTGAGCCGTGATCGTGGCCTGTTTCTTGTTGGTAGTTGATTCGGCTCCAACCTGCGGCAAATGGCAGGCCTCTCCGAGTTGAGGCAGCAAAGTGCTGATGTGACATGTTGCCCTTAGTTGCCTTCATGTTTGCAGTGAGGAGGATCGCAGACCCCCAACTGCTGAGCGCAGTGCGCACCTTGCAGTGTGGAGCTCAGAGGATGAAGTGAACGGCACTCTGTTCTGGTCTACATCTTGCAACAGGCAGTTTCCTTCCCTGTTGGGCCCTTGGCGTGTAAGAGCGACCAAACGGTGGAGCAAAGCTTGTGCTGTCAGTGCAGGCGCAGCTGTGCCTGCGGGCTCGTGGAGAGGTTTCAAGTGCCGTAAACGGAACTTTTGCTGGAGCTTGCTTGCCTCAGGCGCCTGGACCTCTCGGTCTTTTCGGGTCACGTGAAGCCCTGGATGGGGCCTCAAAGTTGAATCAGCTTCCTAATTCGAAGTGCTCGTGAGACCTGCTTCTATCCTAGTGAGGTCATTCCTCTGGAGACACAAGATGCTGCCGTGATGCTCAGATTTAGAGCAAGCCAGTCTACAGACGGATTCGTTAGAGACCTCAGGAATCAGCAAGCTGAGGTTAGGGACATTGTGGCAGCTTGTGCCAAAGGCATGGCTTCCGTGGCAGATGGTTCTTGTCAAAGCCTCAAGGTAAGAATCATTGCTACGGTTCTATGAGTTGGTTTCGTGAGCATGTCTATGGAGACATTCCCAACCCCTGGCTATCTTTCAGCAATGCTTCACTCATTCTTGTTCCCAGCTACTGTACATCGACATACACCGACAAGAGATATGATTATGATGTACGAGTTTTCAACAAGTCCGGGGCTTGCACCACTGATGGCATGTTGGTGTTGGTTGACAAGCCTGTCAATGCCAACCGGGTCCCAGGATGTGTGTAGAGTGTGGAAGTCGCACAGGCATTCACACGCTAGGTTGAACAGACGGCAGCGTCAAAGAATATCAAGAAATGGATCTTCAGAGTGGTTTGATGTGTTAAGCCACAAAAGGGTCGCATCCCGAATATTCGTGTACCATGTCAGGAAGCGGAAGCTTGCTATGATTGCTATGTCTTTTCATTGTGAGGTTTACGATGCCCCAGATTTTCAGTTAACAATTTGGGAGTCGTAGTTGTGCTTGACAACCAGGCACAGGGCCTGAACCAAATTGGCCATAGACGGCAGCTTCTTGAGCAAACGGTCTTCCCGGATAGATGATGGAATTGATTACCAGCTTACGGTCATCTTCTTCCAGGACTTCACTGGTGTGGGCTTGTTGCATTCATCAAGGTCTCACCCTCTGGACTTTGGTCGATGAAAGAAGCAAGGCTCGGGTTTTTCGAGGACATGTGATGAAGTGGTGCTTTTCGTATCTTTTCGTGTCATGCTGCGGTAAGTTGCACGGTGTTTCCCTGCACCGCGGGGGAAAGCCAGTTTTCAGGCATCAAACCCTTGAATCAGCAACCAGCGAGCCAGAAGCAAGCAACACTGACCAGCCGGGCCGGACCAGGAATGCAGGTACGCAGGGTACGCCGTTGGCGAGCAGGCCCCACCTGGACGTGCGTGGTGGCCGGTTCAGAGCTAGTGACCGATTCAGTCTTTCCGGTCTTCACACTGTTGCCCTCTTCCCGGCCGGTGCCCCCTTCGCCGATTCGCCTCCGAAAACACCAGGGTAATTTGATGGCCAGAAGCTGTAACCACCATGCAACAGACAGCAGAAAAGAAAGATGAAGCCTGCTACTTGCATTCTAACAGGCTGCTGGAAGTTGCAAGCCAAAAGAAGTATGGTACCATCCCGCTTCAGGCGACCAAGCCTCAAGTGTGGAAACTAAAGTCGTATTTTTTTAAAGGCTGACCAAAGGTAGTTAGGGGTCGGAATTGAAGGGGCTAAGTATGTCTTAGACGAGGTATCATAAATGCTGTCGTTTCCTGGCAGGGAACCGTTTTCACATATAACTTCAACATCCTAGCATGAACATTTGACACCTGCTGCTGCTGCTGCTGCTGCTGCTGCTGCTGCTGCTTTATCGCTGTGCGTGGTGGGTAAGCATGCCACGACCGGGAAACGTAATACACAGAGTTGGGAACATAGAAAACATCGCATGGCGATCATACTGTACAAAGGCAAAAGCTGAAGAAATATGTGGGAGCAGGCTCGACCAATTCTTACCAGATCGATCCAGAGCCATAACACGGGAGTTATCGGTGCAAAAGCGGGGATAAACCCGCCAGCGTAACACCCTCACTGCCCAGTAAGGCTTGGAGCCCTGTACACAGTTTAACGTCGCAATGGACCCTAAAAAGAACGAGGTGAGAGAAATTGCCCTCCCCTCAAACGACGTTGAGAGTAACGTCTCCCCAAAACAATCACGGGCTTTGGGTACAGCCCCGACAAAGTCTCCCCAAATCCAGGAACCAACTGGTGACGGCTAATGGGTAGAGCCGCGGCACAAGGCCTCCCCGAATCCTGATATCAGCCGTAGTGACTTGCAGGTAACGACCAACGGGTAAATAAAGGCCGCCGGGGGAATTTGTACTCAGGTCAATTCCCGCCGCAGATCAACTGCGNNCCCCCCCCCCCCCCCTTCCCGGCAGGGTGAACATTGACACCTGGCACTGCTTGCTTCGTCGCATTTCGTCGCATTCTGCTCGCCCGTGTCCGAATCCCAAAGGGTGGAAGGCTGTGCCTGCACAAAGCTGTGCACATGCTGCTGCCAATCGCTACTTCAGTAGTTCACCAACAAACCAACAGCCTCAGCCGTTTTGTCTGTCATTTGCTGTCCTTATCTTGGGTTCCTGCTGAGGAAGCAAGACTTGAGAGCTGGCACATGTGTCAGCTGGCCTTCGCAGTTGAAGTTCTTTGGCAAGTCTGGAGCTTGCAGGCCATGCAGTTGGAGCCAATCGCAGCAAGGAGGCACCTTCGGAAGAAACGCTATGCGAGAGCTGAAGCTGAAGCACCAAAGTGCTTGAGGATCCACAAGAGCCTTGCTGTTGAGCCAATCGAGCTTGTAGCAGAACGTCAAGGCGGCTGTTGCACAGACGAAAAACAGCTTTTTGAGCACTGTTTTCGTGACGCAGGAGGCGGCCCTCGAGAAGGCCCCATCCGATATGGAGAGGTGCGCCCATGATTTTGAGTTGAAAGTGAAAGGCTCAAGGCATCACTTGAAACCCAGGGCTTTCGACTGAGAGCTGCTGGGTGCGAAGCTCTGTACTTAGGCACTGATCTGTATCAGTTGAAATACCATTAGCCTACCCAAGTGGCAGAGTGCTGCTTGTGACTTGCTGTGATGCAGGCTACCCGGGCGGTGATGGACTCTGCTGGAAGTCTGGAGATGAGGTCGGAATGTGGCTCCACGTCACCTGCTTCACGTTTGATGAGATGTCTGTCTTCAAGGCAGATCCTGCCACGCCGCCAACAGGAACGCGGTTCTCGGCTCACGGTGGAGAGCTAGGAGTTGCTGCCTCACCACGTATCCTCAATTCAAAAATCTGAAGCGACATGCGAAGCACAGGCCCCGCTGAGCTTTGGTCGACCAGTATCCCTGAGATGGGTGCCGGCTCCTTTGTACCCTCCCAGCTCTCTGAGTAAGCCGTGCGAAGGTTGTGAGTTTAAGGCCAACGCCTCCAACATCTGACTCAGAAAGTGATGTGGAAGATGACAGGCAAGATAAGGACGTTTGCCTTCATCCAGTCATGATCTACTTGTCAACTGCTGGTGCGAGGCCTGCAAGTTCAAGCAAGGACCTCCAAGGGCTTCAAAAGATGCGAGCGATCCGTCTGAACCACAGCAGGATGTGCCAGAGCCTTCACATCGAGGCCAGCAGTAAATCTAGAGCCGCGGATCTGGGTACAACTGCTGCTTATATGGGGTGTCCTTGCACCTGGACCGTGTGAGAACGCACACAGCGAAGCTAGTACAGCGAAGCTAGTACGCACGTGTGTCTTGTCTCCTTATCCTTCTCTGTTTGGTGGGTTGGGGGTGCCTGGGATTCCGAAGTGTGCGCACTGTGAACATGCAGGGGTGGCTCAATGCTTGCTGCCTGAAACTGCCAAGTATGCCCAGGACTGCCAAGAGTGTGTCTAGTTCTGCCGGGTCACCTTCCGTACGCAATCAGATCCCTGAGGACGGACTCTATTCCCGCCTGGCCGACAAGGCTGGACACATCAAAGTGGTCAAGAATTTCATGCAGTCACACCTGCCAGGCAGATTCCACGATTCCCGTCACCTTTCTGCCGCTATGTGCTGAAGTGCTGAGCTGATGCAACTCTGCTGGAAAGCATTGCAAAGCATGTTTACAGTGTTTACATTAAAGCCGCTAGTGCCCCATGCCAGTCCCAAACAGATTTGGCTTGCCATCAGATTACGGAAACGCCTTCCTTGCAGCGGCTTGCACCGTCAGTCATGGAACAAGATGTTCCTGCGGCTGTTCGAGACCCTGCCGTATTGTACATAAGTTGCATGCGGATGCGCGTAAAAAACCCGAGCCTGAATGGACCGGCTGTCCATAAGCAGTGTAACTACCACGAGATTTGAGCTGTCCATTGCCAGATATCCGCGGCAACAGAAGCATGACTGGGCGCGCGAGCTTGCTGGACAGGTCCATCGCATGGCCATTCCCCAAATGTGCAAAGACAGAACTGACTGGAGGGAAGCTTGACCATCGCCGCGTCCAGCAAGGCCTTCAGGCTTGGGCTTGGTGATGTGCCTTGTGCATGGGGTGTATTAGGTTCTCTTTCTCTGACCAGGGCCGGTTGGATCTTCGTCACTGTCACCAGCAACAGCTTGGCCGCTTATTCTCTGCGCGTGCTGCTCTCGGGCACGCGGATAATGCATCATCGTTCAACAGATGAGCGCGCATGGTTGTGCCAAGATCCGGTGGGGTAACGAAATGCTCTGGCTCAAGGACTGTGCTGGGCCATGTGATGTCACTTCTTGATGAGTTTGGGACATGTGGTCCCTGGCAGGACGGCGTCCAAGAGCGGGATCGTCTTGTGCCCGGAACTTTACGGTGGTTCTCACTCGACGTGTCCGCACAGAGAGCTTGGGCCATAGTAAGACCTATCCAAGCGACGTGGCAGAACATCTATCTGCAGTGCTGGAATGACTTCTACAGTCTGTCCAAGTCAGGATCGGCTTACATCCATCAGAGCAGAAGCAGTGGTCGGGGCCCTGAAAGTATGTTCAGAGTGCTTTGTAGGTCAAACATGCCTAGGGTTTGTCTTAGAATTCATCTGCCAATGGAAATTCCAACAAAAGGATGTGCACAAGACGAGACAGGATCAAGACTTCAAGACTTCAACATGCAAAGAAGTGATACCATAATGTTTATGAAATTTCCCCGCTGAATGCCTACCCTCTTTCGCCTTCAGTGGTGGCGTGCCTGCTGACAGAACTCATAAGTCCAGTACTTGTACGTGCTGCGAGAGTGGCGCCAAAAACAAAATTGTACATGTAACTTATCAGAATCCTGGCATCCTCAAGAGATATCCCTGGTCTTTGACAATCACGCAAAGTCCAACGAGCACGACTGCAACTTGTCTACGGAAAGGAAAGAAAAAGCATGTAGAAGCATCTCAGGCCTTTAATTTAGCATGCAGAAAAGCGGGGCATCGACCAGACGAAGAACAACATGCAAACATAGAGGGCGTAGGCTAACAAATATGAAAACGACACAGTTAGCTAAGCTGGTGCCCAACAGTGCGGTCTACACCTGACTAAAAGGGCATTCAGGATCCAAGCAGCCTTTGAGCAAATGCTGTCAGCAATGATGCAGAACACGCAAGACCAACAAATTATGCTATAGAGACTTATGATGCGGACTGGTTTTGGAGTGGTTTTGGCAATGTTTTAGCATGTCCACGCCGCAAGTCTCGTCAGCATTGTAACCTCCGATGCTCCACAAATGCAACGATTATTAAAGATGCCATGCTTGTGAGGACGTGAAAGCCTCGGTGCTTTGATTGGAGGCCTCTGAACAGCTTGAACTGCGGTGAACCGCGGTGAGTAAGGTTTATGACAATGAGGATACATCGGCCTTTTTGGTTCAGGGTCTGGTGCATGTCTTACTTAACCCAATGAACAGCATAAGAGAGGACCGTCAAAAGCTTGTCTCATTCCCATTGGTGTCTCCCATGCTTGGAGCATCAGCAAGTTCTTGATTCCTAAGTGGGAGACCCTGGAGGGCCCTCGGAGGTTCTGGGCCCACTCAGGGAGTTCTTGCTGTGCCAAACACAAGGCTGAGGTTGACGTGAGGGGCCCTGTGCGGCCCGGCGGCTTGGACGCCAATCTTAATTGTCGCTACGTCTGGCATGGGTCTGAAGCCTTGAGACAGGTCCTGGGAGGCGAATCCGATGTCTGGTTTGAAGTTTAAAAGACCCAGCCATTGGACCATCTGGGATGCGGAGATGCTCAAAGAAACGTCCGATTCAAACAGAGCTTGTTGCTGTATGGTTTGTAGCGACAAGACGTAACATCAAGATGGCACGTATAGTATTGCTCCCGAGCCCAATATTTCGACATTTTTCCGTTCAACACGTTCCCGATTTGTGGCTTCAGCATGTAACAGCGATTCCTTGGCGTCCCTGTCTGCATCATTTCCGCGTCTACAGAAAACTTGTGCAACCAACTGCTCTCGGATGTTGTGGAGGAATCTGGACCGAGGCAGGAGTTGTTGGTGTTTGCATTCGACGTTCCAAAGGGAGAAGGCGGGGTACCATCCATTTGGTCTGGAAAGGTCTGCGAAGCACCACACTGGTCACAGTGATCATGATATATCATGATATGATAAATGATGTGAGCAATGCAGTTACAGCCAAGAGGCTTGGAGGCTGGCGCCGATGGGGCCAGGAGCTGATGCAGCGGCTGACATACAGCAATCCCGTCTAAGTTTGATGCTTTTCTCTGGTTTCGATTTTTTGTTTGAAGTCCGAGCCAGTCTGGCATCATCAGGTGGTGGTGCACCTTGCGGTTGGACAGAAGACCTCGGTGGCAGTCTCAAGCATCTTTCGGGACTCAAGGTGTTTTGCTGGGCAAACGCTTTCATTCTGGGTCGCAGGGACAACGATTATGATTGTCAGTGTATGAAGCCTCGCACGCGTGGTTGGGCACATGCATGGCTTTGTGCTGTATGTGACCAAGAAGCAACAAGCAAAACTCCGAGCAGCTGGCCAGCTGTGTGTCAAGTTGATAGCTGAAATGCGCAATCCTGGATTTTCGGCCATTTCCAATACCATGCGGGTTGCTTTCCTTTCTCAAATGTTTCGATGTTTTTTGTTTCACCTGTTTGAGTGTTTGATATCATGAAGAAATCAGGCGGAAAAAAGGCAAGCAGGCACAAACAACGCATCAACATCATCACAATTTCCCGTGCACTAGGACAGCGAAATTCCCACAAAGCGTACACTTCCCAGAACTGATGTTGCCTTTGTGACCTCAACATTGCATCCTCAATGCCGCATGCATGAATGACCTTTCAGAAAAGAAGTGCAGGCGAATTTATGGAGAACGATTTTTGTGAGTTGTCGATGAGGCTGCGCGTACTCGGCTGTGGCCAATGCATCTATGGGTGTAGCTGCCAGCCTTGCTGTCGGAAGCTCGATGTCTTGCAGTGCCATGCAGTGCCATGCAGTTCGCCACGCCAGCTGCAGGCCATTGACGTGCCTTCGGACAACGAGACTGCCACATTAGAGAGCTTCGCTAAGCTGTTTATCCGCCTAGTCATGAAAATTCTGCAGATGTTGACCTAGGCTGGCGGTGCTGGCACTGTCGCAGCTTGGCGTGCATGTGTTGCAAGTTGCCAAAGGGTTCGAATAAAGCTGTATGTTCTCCGTTGCCATGTCACCATCTCGAGATCTGATAAGTGCAGGGGGGAGCGGGCGACCAGCAACCAACGAGCATGATGCGCCATTCTCTTCACACATTTTCACATAGGCATTGCTTTTAGCAACCAACGCAGTTGGACAGCTGGTGCATGAATTCGCGCATGTTTGCCGCGCGGACCTGGTCATGAAGTTCAAAGCCACAATTTCGAGTACTGGACAGCCTTCGTTGCAGGAGACTGTTTTGAAAGTGCTTCAGGCGCTGCATCGACTTCAGCGAAGTGACCGACGTTCGAAGGGTTGTCCGAGTGTTGTTCTGAAGCTGACGCCCGAGGCTTTTGCCTTTTGCCATAAGGGCGGGGCTGAGGAAGGCTCCCAGACCTGGAGCCACTTCCAGGTAAAAAGTCTCTTCAAGGAGTATCGCATCGAGTCAAAGCGGGACAACAAGATTGATCTGGAGGTTCCTATTGCCAACTTGCTGCACGTCTTCAACAGCTGCGTGAGCAGCGAATACACGACAATGCGACTGGCAAACGGAACCAATGATGGAAGACCTGTTTTGAACTTTGACTTTGCCCTGGCTGGCAACGCTGCTGACCATCGCGTCGAGCTAGAGGTTCCAGTTCGAGTAATTCCAGAAACTGAGGCTGAAGTTATTCGTGAGCCCGCGCTGCCTGAGCCAGTGTATCAAATCGATTTGCCAGGGTCGGTAAGCCGACTCCGCAACGTTTTGGACCGTATGCGTCAGGTGGGGGCGCAGACTGTGGCAGTGGAAGCCGCCAAGGAGGGTCTGAGGGCAACTGACGGCATTGGAGCTGGTGGCCAAGCCAGGGCATCGAGCTGGCTGCGTTTGAAGGCGGAGTCGGACCTCGTGGAAATAGCAACTACCTTTCCTGGACTATCACTCATCATGGATGGAAAGTCTAATCCGTCACCAGACGGTCCTATTGGTCTCCAGCTTTCCCTCAAGAGGCTCGCAGAGGTCATGGCAGCCGTTCAAGGTCTGGGCGCAGATGCCCATATCGTCTGCATTATTGAACAGCAAGCGTTGGTTCTCTATGCACTCTTACCGTCAGGCTTAGGATCTGTGATTTGCTACACACCTGTGCTCATTGGCTAGCGGCTGGAGCTGAGAATCGCTGTCGGTGTGAGGTGACAAACATGTACAAACATAAGCAAATCAGCTTGGAATAGAGCGAATTGCCGAAGTGGAGCTAGTTTTGAGAAGCCCAGCCCACAGCATCCAACTGAGGTCTAGCAGCCTGGCAACCAATGCGTCGGAGACGTCCACACATGCCTTTCCCCTTTCCACACGACTGGAGCATCGATATTACAAATCCCAAGCTAGATGTTGCAGGAGTTTGTCCTGGAGGCAGTGTTAGGCGACGTGGCTACTTTACCGGAGGTGGAGCTTGCACCCCAGGAGCCCTCTTGGAAGAACCTTGTTGCAAAGCCAGGAACAAACGGTGATCATTGATTCGCCATGGCCTTGCATGCGAATCTTGTCACTAGTTGTTGCAGAATATATGTTAAATCTCAGGCTTGGACCTTCCTGCTGTGCTTCCTCGTCGACAGGGCAGAAGTTGTATCGCGTGTACTCTATGCAGGGACTTGCCACAAAAATCCTGCCGGAAAGATGCGACATGCGAAGGTATCGGCACTACACTCGTTTTGCTTCTGGATTGTTGCGACTTTTTCTCAGCCCGCTCGGTCCGCCATCCAAGTCAGCTCTTCTCATACTTGTTTGAGGATTTGCAGACGGAAGTTTAGTAGAGCAGGAGCGGGACTTCTGGTGGGTGCAAAGCTCTCTGCACGCCGCAAAGGTCCGGCGCAAGATTGCAACTAGATCTTCACAAATCTAAAGTGTCAAGGGCTCGCGTGCAGGTGAGTCTCGTTGGTTTGAGACGCAGACAGCGCAGCAGGACTCCTGCAGCATGACTGTTGCCTGCAGGGCCGTGTTGTCCTGCCTTGAAGGAGCGAGTTCTTCAACTTTACATCAACTTAGAAGACCTTGCAAGGCGGCATCGTCATGTTTTAGGCAAAGCAGCAAGAAAGCATTGAGCAGCAATAGTGCTGCTTGTCTCTCCTGTCCTGAACATGTGGGTGTTTCACTGATAGCATTACCCTGCCCGCTGCTCTTTCAGGGGGGCATGCAGCCAATCTGTTTGCTGTGGTGAAAGCAAGAACCAGCAGGTGCATCCATGCTTTCGTGGTAGTAGCACTTGTAGGGCTGAATCTGTGTACAATGGCACCAGAGCCTCAGTTGTGAAATAAGCGACTCTTGCTTCCCGCCAAAGCTTGCATTTATCTTGAACTGGATGACCGATTCCAAACAAGGTGGGGTGAAAGTTTCCGACTTGGGATGTAGTCCCTTGCACCTGGTGCCTGGATATCGAGTTACAGCGGTTGTTGCCGTGCTGTGCGACGTTGAGACTGGGCTGCCCGCGGAGGAGTTCGCTGGAGGAGGCTGGAGCAGCTGGTGGAGAAGAAGGCTGTGATGCTCGCGGCCACAGAGACTGGCGATCAGGTTGTGGAGAAGCTGGGGCCGTCATACAAGGCCTTGAGCCATGAATGGTCAAGAAAGCAACGGAGCCGAAGGCAGAGCCGCCTCGGAAGCAAGCTTATCATACTGAGCATGACCCTTGGGATGGTTGCAACGTCGCGCCTTGGCACGGCATCAACAGTATGCCGCTCAAGTTACCCGCAGCGACCCCGAGTTGGGAAAAGCCTTCGGGCTGGGACAGCTTGGCAGAGGCGTGCTGGCAAATGTGATCGGCTGCCGCAATGAAGGCCTTGCTGCTTGTACCATTATCACCACATGCAGTGTTGAGGAGAAGATGCAGGGCAGTTGGCGGCTCCCAGCAAATGGAGTCAGACCACATGCTCGATCATTCCTGCTGGTGAGTGGTGTGCATGCAGCGCATTGCAGCGCCATCATCTTCAAGATAGTGGTTCAGGCTAGGAGGTTGAAGAGCGTTGAAGCCTACTGACCTCACCGACACCAGCTGCTGCAGGAAGCACGCGAGAAAGTAG